AACACTTGCATCTAGAACTCAATTCACAATTTTATGGTGAAATTAGAAAAGACAACACCGAAACTTTTGGATGCAATAAGAAAAGTAAGAGATGTGCTTCAACTAGATTTAAATTTTAACAAAAACAGAACATATAATAGAATCATATTTCACTGAATTTTCTTAGATCTATTTGTACTTTTAAAGAATTATTAATTTATACTCTCTCCATTCCATATTAATTGAATTTTTGAGGTGTTTCACATCCTTTAAGAAAAGTAAATTAAGACATAAATTGAACATAGTTTTCCATTTTTACCCTTATTAATTATTGTCAAATTTATGATTAAAATAACTAAATATTAATTAATCATTAATTCCAATACTAACTAATGAAGGGTAAAATTGGAAGAACACTTCAAATGTAGTCTTGAAAACTGAACAATTAAGTTAATTTAAAAAATGAAAAATATCTCAACAATTCAATTAATATGAAATGGAGGGAGTAATATTAATGGGATCATATATTTATATATGGATTTTCTAAAAATATATTATCTTATTATCTTGTCAAAATAAGTGATTTTTTCCATTGATCCAAGTTGAATCGGAGAAAAATATTATCTTAAAAAATTTATTAATTAACCGACTATTAATTTAATAAGATTTTACTGTAATTATTTTGTGGTTGCCACTAATGACACAAGAAATGAAACCATCATTATTGAGTAATGTAATAATGCACGTCGCAACTTGTCTGCTCTTCATTAAATATTTGGTTCACTGGATTTAGTCTAAACAACATGTTTTTAAATATTGTACTAATGCCAATAACTTTTGCTTCTTAATTTAATTTAATTTTAATACGGCCGTGACAGAAGCTTGGTAGTACTTGTTGGGTTATGAAGGTGAATAGGGTGTCATGCGGAAGCTTATAATTGCATATCATATGGTTGATAAATCAGACGACAAAAACTAATACTAAAAATATAATATTATTATATAAAAATTAATACAAAAGAAAAATATTATAAATTGTTGAGAGAATAAATCTCCCAATAAACAAAACTCTCTATATGTCTACATTGTGGATACTGTTGCGTTATGCTATGAGAATAGAGATCTTTAATTTATAGATCTCCAAACATTTCCTCTAAGGAAGAATAAACCAAATATGGAATAAAATTATATTTTTCTTTCAGAAAAAGTTCAAACATTTATAATAATACTTTGACTTTTCTTTTGAGAAAAAATAAACTTCAAATAACATTGTGGATACTAGTACAGGAGCTTGGTAGGACTAAGGAATACTTCTTCCGTTCTTATTTACTTGTCAAATTTTGACTTGACATACCTATTAAAAAAAATAATGATTGATATAGTGAGTTTAACATTTTATTCTATTGTCCCAAACGTATTTATTCACTACATTTTCCAAACATATTAACTCAATTTCAATAAATTGAGAGTATAATAGGAAAAAAAATATTGTCCTTTCCTGATGTGTCAAAAATGACAGGTAAAATGAAAAATTAAACTAGAACTATTTGTCAAGTAAATAAAAACGGAAGGAGTATTATTTTTTAACCAAAATTAACTAGTTTTATTTTTTTCCTCTTTCTAAATAAGAGTAGATAATAATAAAGACAATTATTAAAGTGTGTTATGGTTGGAACTTTTCATTTTCGGACTGTTTCTACATGACAACAATTTTCTAACTAATTATTGAATAAATTATAATTTATAAGAGAAGAACAAAATCTTGATCAGATATGGTATCTATGATATAATATAATATGTGATTTAAAAATACTTTGTTTTAGTTTTTCAAAAAAGATTGAAGGGAATTAAGCAAAAGAAATTAAATGGCCTAGATTTAATCATCGGCCGTCCGCCGGCTCTAATGATTGGATTATTGGAATAATAATAATAATAATAATAATAATAATAAACACAAGCTTCAGTCTTATCTCCGTAAGATAAGAGATTGTTTTCAATACACCTTCGATTAAGAAAATTGTAATTAAAATTATAGATTTAAAAAAATTATATCGATAGCAAAATACTGGAATAATATTAGATATTGATCATAATCTTATTAATGAAGCCTTAACCCTAAAGTTTACTCTTTCTACTTAATTTCTAGAAAGGGGAAAGTGAAAACTAGAATATTTTTGTCACGTTTTCCAATTATCATTTTTTCATGATTTAATCTACCTCGTGTTAGGATTTAGTCCTTATTTTCTTATCATATTTGATGAATATATTTTCTTTCTTAAATGAAAGTTAAAACATTATCATAATTGTTTTTACTTTTCTGAAAGAAAAATATATTTTTCTTTCATAATTGGTTTATTTTTTCTTAGGGGGAAAGTTTGAGACTCCATAAACTGAAGACCCTTTTTATCATACCAAAAACATAATAGCATTCACAATATAGACATTTAAGAATTTTGTTTACGAAGAGATTATTTTTCTTCCTACAGATTCTATGCTTATGCTTAGTATTAATTTTTAATTATGTAGATCAATTGACCAAACCATCTAGTAATATATGTTTCTTCTAGTATAGTTTTATGTATAGTCTGATTTAACATGATTTTGCAATTATAACTTTCTGCATGTTGCAACGATTCATTTGAACCCAACATAATGTTACCCAATAAAATCAACACAAACAAGTTGAGTCATTTAACAAAGGGAGGAAAATAAAATTATTATTATACACACACATTAGAGAATATACACAACGATTAACATTAATAACTTGGCTCGAAATCTCCCAAAATGTTGTCACATTCATGTCGGATCCTCCAAATTCGATACACACTGTCTACATTTTTAAAGAGTCTAAGTAACATAAATTATAACCTGACTTTGGAATGGCAACTTAATTGAATAGCAAGATGAGAATGAACCAAAATTGAAATGTCACAATAGCTATTAACTATTGCATGAATCTTGAAAATTTTGAGCATCTTCACTTTACCATTCAAAGTTAAATAGGATATAAAGTTCAAACTTCCAGCCTCAATATCCTTAATAAAATATGGACTTTTTACCAATTTGTCCCCAGTAATATTAGCATAACTTCTTGTATTTAACTCTCCCTTAGATGGAACAGTTCCATGTTCAATTACTATTTCACCCACTGAATTGTTACCATGGTAAATAAGTGAAGATATCGAGTCCTCGAATTTGAAGCTACCATAATTCGGATTCTTAATCGTGATTATCAACCTTAATGACACGTTTAGGCTTAATCGCGACAAGATTTGGGATTCAATCTCATCTAGGGAAATAGGGTGGAGAATGATTTGAGGTTTTTTGGGCTTGAGAATAGTATGGAACAAAGTGATTGAGACAATAATAAGAATAATTGATAAAAGTATAGTAACACCACAACAAATCTTGAAATTTCTCGTGGAATTTTTGTGTCCCGCTCCTTCCATTTTTTTGAGCTGAGAGTCTATCAGAAACAACCTCTCCACCTTCTTAAGGTGGGATAAGGTTTACGTACATTCTTTAAAGGGACTAGAGATATTTAGGTGTCAATTTTTTTTTTTGTGATGAACTTACTTGGAGAAAATTGGTATTAATACAAGGGGAGTTTGATCTTTATTTTGATTTGCACTTTGAAAAATTGTTAAATTAAACCATTTGATGTGCAATTTCAAATATAGACTTATCTTTTGTTAGTGTGTAATTACTAAAATCAAAATTAAGTTCATCTTATTTGACATCTTTTATGTTGCATTCTACTGGTTAATGTTGACCATATTTTTGTGCTGATTTAATTAGAACATTTGATAACAAATTTCAAGGAGTTTCTGGGCCTAATTTCAGGCTTATTAGCCCACAAGTAGCCCAGCCCATATCATAAAAAATGACATAAAAGAAAGTAAAGAAGGAAAATTTGGGATGAATATTTATGATCTTAAATTTAGAATAAGTTTAATATACCAGAATATTTTTTTACTTTTATAGAATAAAAATTTAATGTGAGTTATGAAATTAAAAAAGATACATTTTTTCTGAATAAGACAAACAAATTCAAATCGAAAATACAGAAATCTAAATGGGACAAATTGGAAGGCAAAAAAAAGCAAAATGCCCCCATGCAGGATCGAACTACAGACCTTCAGTTTACAAGACTGACGCTCTACCACTGAGCTATACGGGCTTATTTGATGCTCTCTGACACTTATAAATAAATAACTGAAAAGAATTACTGTTTTTTCCCCTAAACTACCGTCTTAAAAAAAAGGGGTGAGGTGTTTGGTTATGTTTTGAGAAGTAGCAAAAGTTATTTTTTAAAATATAACCAAAAAAATAGTAGTAATAGTTTTTCTAGTAATTTCTTTTGTAAATCACTTCTGAAAAAATACACTCAAAAACGCTTTTTAAAAACTTGATCAAATATTAATTACTACTCAAAAGTCTTTTTAAAATTTATATCACACAAAATCACGTTTTTTACAAAAATATTTTTTTCCAAAAAATATCTTAAACGTAATGCTGATTTTAGATTTTGTTCCACTATAGATTTGCTGGTAAAATAAGGAATTTTTACCTAGATACATGCAAAATAATAAAAATCTATTTCAAAATCGTGTCATACTGATTATTTTATTTCCTTTTGATCATATTTCCCAATTTTGTTGATCGTAACGCTTTTCGTTACAAGTTTTTTTTATAGTTATATAAAGCCAAATTTAAAATAGGTAGCACTTTTATGTGATGGATTTTTTTTTAGTCCATTCTAAAAAAATAAATAAATTTATATTTGATAATAATTTGATTTATTATAATTTATAATTACATAAATGTCTATAAATTATTTTAAATTATAAATTATAAAAATATTTCTTTTTTATAAAACGTGAAATAATATCACATAAATTGAGACGACGATGACTAGTAATTTTGTTTCTATTTTTTCTCGTCATTCTCGTCTTCCCATTGTCACGCCGGTCACCCGGCCCATACAAAGACAAAATTTACATACACAGAGAAAAATCCCCACAAACAAAAAATAGTAAAATACTCCTAAAATATTGCCACTCTGTTGTTTAGCTTTCTTGTTTTTTTCTCTTTCGATCATCATCAACAAGCACTAATTCTTCTTAGACGGCCATAAACAATTTTCCCAACTCTTTCTTTCACTAATTTTTGGAAAACATGAATGATCTTCTAGCGGTTAGTTTATTTTCTTCACCCTTTTATTTGTTGTTTTGATTACAGGGAAATAAAAGAGTGAACTTTTTGTTGTTTTTGCTTCCAAGATTTCAGTTTTTCTATCACATGTGTCTTGCTTTTGTTTAATTTTGCTGTCAATTGAATTTTGTGTGTTAAGTTTTGGTTATACTAGTGTGGTGAAGTTTGTAAAGATTGAATTTTTATGTAAGTTCTTGTGCTGTGTCAACTGGGACCCAGAATTTTCATTAAGGGGTTTAAAATGTGAGTGAGTAAATACACGAAGAAGGTGAAGGGGTTTTACGTATACTAGGTATACATAAAAAATAATTTTAATCATGTGTAAACAATGGTTAAGTTTAGCTATGCATAATTTTAGTTTTTGTATTACATGAGTCTTGCGTTTGTTTAATTTTGTATGTTAAGTTTTGCTTATACTAGTCTTGTGAAGTTTGAAAATATTGGATTTTTATGTAAGTTCTTGTGGTGTATCATATGTATCAATGAGAGTCAGTATTTTCATTAAGGGGTTCAAAATGTAGGGAAGTAAACACACGAAGAAGCGAAAGGGTTTAACATCTACTATTTATACATAAAAAATTAGTTTTAATCATGTATAAAAAGTGTAATTTTCTGTTAAAATGAACCTCTCGGCACTACTTGGCTCCGCTCCTGAACTGAATACTTGGTTATTTAACAAGTAATACCAATCTTTTGTTAGGTGGTAGAGTTTGGACTAGAATTAAGGTTACTCCTTCATATCCTATTTATTTACTTGCTTTTTGTTGTGTTTCCTGCTAGCTGTTTTTTTTTGTAATTTAACGAAGCGTAGTTTTTTTTCCTTTGATTATTGTGTTGTTCGGGTCAACTTGAATGCATCTCGGGGTTCCTGTTACACCCACCAACATCATACCGCTAACTCTGCCCATCTATATCCATCAAGGTTTGGACTGTTAGAAGAAATCACGTATTTATACCTCCGATTGAGATTTGAAACTGAGACCTCATGATTCTGAACCCATTTCATTGACCACTAGGTCACATCCTTAGATGCAATTTAACGAAGCTAACTGGAGATTCATTAATAATATTGGATTTTGTTTCTTTGTTTTCATGATAATTTTTATCTATATCACATTATCTTGTACTGCAAGCACTTGTAATGAAGGTTATACATTGATCACTATTTGATTTCACGCAAGGGGGATGATGTGATCTTGAAGTTTATTGTCATGTAATTTCTGTTCTTGTTTCAGGATTCAAGTTTTATTGCTGGAAAAGATAATGCTTCCAAAGAATCTGATATCGAGATGGGAAACCGATTTACAAGGAGCCAGTCAGATTCTGGAATTGACAGCTTTAACAAGCAGGTATTGCTTCACTGACCCCTGAGTTAGTTTTTGAGATTATCAGAGTAGTGCAGTTGTCATCTAAAGATAAAACTATAAGTACCAATTTTTCAAAAGGCTTATCCTCCCATCTCCTTGCTCCTGACATATGGTACAAAATCTTGCAGATACAAGAAATCGAGAAACAGGTTGATAAACTTTCTGGTTTCCTGAAGACCCTTAAGGTATCATTCATACAAATTCTTTGCCTTTTCTTTTAGTTTTAATTGCTGTTCAGAAGCCATTTAGATCTATTTGTACTTTCTTCTTTTGAGAAATTGCATATGCAACTAGTATAATGTCTTGGCTTCATTCCTGCTTTTACATGCTTTAAATTTTCAGTAAAATCAATCCTGAAAAATGAGTACTATTTCTCCCCAGTGTACTATAGATGTCTCTTGGTTAAAAAGAAATTGATAACAGTATAGTTGGTTTCATATCAGGGTTCAAATTCCAATAGTGTCAAAAATGATAGGTGATTTCTCCTCTGCCTTGGAGGTGGTAGGTACTTGCCGAAACAGTCGAGTTAGTTGCTTGTTCTTTTGGACCCAAAAGACAATCTTGGTTGCCCATATGAGAAAATAGCTGGTTGATAATAGTTAACTAGGCAATATTTCATAAGAAAATCAAGATAATAATTGTAGTGTTGAAGGCCAAAGAGTCTTAGTTAAGTCAGTATTTGTTTTTCTCCGGATTTATATATGATCAAAATAACACCTCCCCAATGTACTGAATAAGTCTGTTACTTAAGAAGAAGTGTTAGAAGATGTATACTTGGTTTCATTCTGCAAAAGATTGGAACTTTTAGTAGAGAACTTTAGAACAATTGGGTTGCTTGCTTTTAACCTTGTGATTCTGTTGGATTGTATGTTGAGGAATATGACATTCAAGAAACGGAATAGTATAATAAACAGTTTAGAATGGGTTCAACTATAGGAGAACAGATGAAAAAAAACGAATCAAGTCACTCCTCCCGGATGGAAAAATATGTTCTTGGCTGCCAATCTGAGAATAATCATTTTATAGATTGTTGAATTTGTTGTCACAAGTACTGGAGAATAATGAGTTTTCACTTTTGCCTTTATTACACACTTTGCATTTTGAAATAAAATGCTTTAGTTTAGCGATAAATTGCACATGCCACTTTAATCATTTCTATCTGATCAACATTTTTTTTTTACTTTCTCTGGTCAGAGATTATTAACTAATTGGAATTATCTTTCAGGATGCTAATGAGGAAACAAAGTCTGTAACTAAAGCATCAGCAATGAAAGGTCGGATAAGTGCTATTTCATTATGTCTTGTATAGCTAACAGATTCACTATAAACTTTTATTGTTCTCATCTCTTTTACCTTTAAGTTACTATTATATTGTGAAATAGAACTCTTAAGATTGTTAAGTTTCTCAGTCAAAACTCAAAAGTAGGCTACTATTTTTTCAATCCATTTACTATAATGCACTTGTGAAATATTAACATAGATAAGTTCGTCTATAACTGAAGAGAAAATTGGCCTTTGATCCTTTACTACGAAACAACACTGATAAGTTAGTCTATCTCTGTGTAGTGTTTGTTTTTTCGTAATCTGTAGCCTGCTTACCACAAGCTCTCAAGAAAACATTTTTTACTGTTTCCAGCTATAAGGAAGCGGATGGAGAAAGATATAGATGAAGTTGGGAAGATTGCAAGAAATGTCAAAGCAAAAATAGAAGCAACTAATAAAGAGGTAATTTGTCTATTCTTTTATATTTGGATCAGTAACACAGTTTTTGAGTTCAATTTTCATCACTTAAAAGCACTATAATCGTTTTCTTTTCTTTAGAACTTGGCTAATCGACAAAAGCCTGGATGTGGAAAGGGCACAAGTGTTGACAGATCCAGGACAAATATGACCAAGTACATTAATAAACATAGTTTGTCAATATTGTTTGATGTTATTTTCCACTTCTTGTGCTTGAACAGTCGTAATTGTATGAGTGTATTTGTTCTTTTTTAAAAAAAATATTTTTTGTTTTTTTTAATCGCTGATCTGCATTCTGCAGTGCCTTGACAAAGAAGTTCAGAGATGTTATGACGGAATTTCAGGTATAGACAAGTCTTGTTATTTGCTTTGTGCTGTCTTTTGTTCGATTAAATTGCTTATAAGTTATGTTCCTCCAGACATTAAGACAGAGGATAGACAACGAATATCGCGAGGTTGTAGAGCGAAGGGTGATCACAGGTTTGGATCTCAAACTTTTTCCAACATAAATATAACTTGAGATATGTGCTTATCAATATTTGAATATCTATATGTTGATCTAATATGTGGTTTTATCGTGTTTTTATCTCACAACTGAGCAGTAACTGGAACTAGACCAGATGAGGAGGTGAGTGCAAAGTCTTGCAATTGATAATCCCGATCAATAAGTTTGTTTTTTTGCTTATCTTTATTCTAATGATCGTGTTAGACAATCAACAACTTGATCGAAACTGGAAACAGTGAACAAATCTTCCAGAACGCTATCCAAGGAATGGGACGTGGACAGGTACCTCTTACTACTTCATTCTACTGTATTTTTTCTCTTTCGACTGTTTCTGAATTTGGGACTTAATTTATGTGGCATCCACTTCTGGTGTCTTTTCTCCTTGTTTCTTGTCAACATATTATTTCACTAGGTATATATAAAATGTAGGGAAAGCATGGTTTCTACTTTCTACGTTCGTTAATTATTATATTCATGTTGAACTAACAGAAACAGTACTAGCTGATCTCATTTGAATTCCTTTGACGTACTAACTTTGTCCATACTCCTTGAATTCCACGTATCTTGATATAATTAGTTTGGAAACATGAGTTTTATATATGAGCGCACATCCCAGTCTTATTTTAAATATCTCGTCACCTCATCAGCAAGCATAAAGCAGGACTGCAATCCGAATAGATTTTCTATACTTTTGAGTGTTTTCTAAAAAGTTGTGTGGTTCACCTTTCCCCTCTAGAAATTTAAGCTATATTAGTATGTCATTATCATTTTCCCTTCCTATTTCATCTGTAATATGCTCAAACTGTAGGTCTTAAGCACCGTAGAGGAAATTCAGGAAAGACACGATGCAGTGAAGGAAATTGAGAGAAAACTTCTTGACCTGCATCAGATTTATCTAGATATGGCTGTTCTGGTTGAAGCTCAAGGAGACTTGTTAGATAATATCGAAACACAGGTTTGTTTTCAACCCTCCTATTATTTCCTCAGCGTATTCCTACCTAAAAACGAAAGGGTCTCCACTTCTCTGTGTCGAATTTCTCAATGGAAATTTTGTTCAGGTGACAAATACAATTGATTATGTCCAATCAGGGGCTATTGCTCTTCAGACCGCAAAGAAACTACAGAAGAAGTCTCGAAAATGCATGTTTATTGGCATTATAATTTTCTTAATTATAGTAGGCATAATAGTTCTCCCCTTCATTCTCAAATCTCAACCTTGGAAGAGTAACAAGGGAGCTTAACTGTTTTGTTTTCGAGCTATGCAACGCATGTGTTTGCCTTTGGTTTACTGGGGGATAGAAAAGCATAGATTCACACGAGTCGTGTTAGCCTGTGTATAGCTTCCTTGTCGATTATATTCCTTTTCGTCTAGGCCACACTTCGTTAACTAGCTTTTGGTGTTAACGATCTGCTAATTGTTCATGATTATGTGAATTAGTATATATCATAGTTGTGGCTTTTTAAGTCATAAAAAACAGCTTAAAGAGGAACTTGATATGAATTTCCCCCCTTTTTTGATACTATGTTGAAAATTACCCCATCTTTTTGCCTATTTTCATGAAGTTCTCTTATATATTGTTTTTTCAATTTAAAAAATTAAAGAAAATATTATTATTGTTTTTTAATTAGCTGTCCCAAGTTGCGTGTAAGTCTTTTTTTACCATCTTTTTCCCTTCAAATAAATAAAATAAGTGGACGTTTGGATATGTATCATTGTGAAATTAGAAAAAAGTAATTCTTATTTTCAAAGTAAAAAAGATTTTTGAAAATCAAGTTGTGTTTGGCCATAAATACAAATTGAAGTTATTTTTGACTTTTTGTAACAAATATTAGGGGTCTACTCGATTGGATTCAAAATTTAAATTTTTAGCTAACCAAGCAAAGTCTACTCGATTGGCAAAATAACAAGTATTATATCAAACACGATTTTCCTTAGTTTACAGTTTCTTAAATGACCCTAAATTATCAAAGTTTAGATATTAAACAGGTTGTTGTACTCCTTTGATGATTCGAACTCATAACCTAAGAGTAAGACATGTTTACCATCCGAGCAACTCTCTCTCGTCAACGACCCTAAATGGTTACTCTTTCTCGATGGGCCAATTGGGCACAGCCTACAATTTATCCCAAGTATCTCTATTCTTCATCATTGTCGTATTATATCTCAAAATCCTCCATTCTCATCTTGCATTGTACATAATATACTAATACTACTTATAAGATTTGTACATTTAACAGTACCCAATAATGAACATGATATAAATGGTTAATATAAATATATATTGAACATGATATACTGTATATTAGATATGTATATTTAACACTACCTAATGCAGATTTAAATTTAGCGTATATGTGCATCGATATACTATATATTGTATGCATTACATTAATACCAAGTACCTTTAAGTGAAATAGATATTGACCATGGCATAATATATTAGATATACCCAGAAATGCTTCCTTATTTATAGGTAGTATTTTCACTAATATGGAGATTTGTAGGGACTAATTAATTTTATGGGAAAACTATCTAATTAGATAAACATTCCTACTATATTTACTAATTTTTCCTATAGTTTAAAATATTATATATTGTCTCACTAATTAATAATTTCAAGTTAGATACATCTAGACACATGCATTTTTACTACGAGATGCACTAAATAGGGAGAGAGACGAGCGAGATAGTCAATTACATTAGATACATGTATTTGGGGTACCAAATACATGAAGAGTCGAGTGGCTAACGAGATTGGAAAGAGACGAGCAAGAGAGTCAAATGCATGCGAATTCACTTGAATACAGTGTATCTGAAACAAATTACAAATTCTGGTAAGTTTCATTATAATGGAAAGTGTAGGAAAGGAAGGTACTTCGATACTAAATTAGTGGATTTATGTAAGTTACCCTAATTTTATTAAGAAGAAATTAAATGAAAGTAAATACAAATTGTAGTGTCTAATAGAGTAGTTGTAGCCTCTGGTGATAATGTTTCCTTAATAATAGCTAGTACCAGAATGGAAATTTGTGATAACCAATTAATTTTATTAAATATTCTTCATATTTAGTTGACTTTTTGTTTAATAAAAGACATCGTCTCGATCATTTATGTTCAAAAAGTTACATATTTGAATTTGGTATACCAAACTTTGTACATGACCATTGAGATGAGAATAACTAGCACATACTCAATCCTTTTATACGAAATTCAAGGAGGTTCATAAGCTATTTGGGCATAAATAGTTTGTTTGACTCGAAATATATAATCTATCAGATTTAATCTCCTTATTTATAATTTTTTTATCACATTCAAAGGATTTCTCATTTACTCATTTATAAGTTATGCAATTTTACTTAATCATGGCTATGAATATGATAGCATTGTGAGTTGTGACTCTTCAGTTTTAAAATTTAGTTGCATGACTTTAACAGGAAAAACTTATAGTTATGTGACAATTTATGAAATTTCCCCAAAAAATCAGACAATTTATTCCTCTGGATTTATTTTCAGGTGAGATATGCAGTGGATCACGTTAATATGGGTACAGATGCACTTCAAACTGCAAAGAGCTTACAGAAAAAATCAAGAAAATGTATGATGATCGCCATAGTTTTGCTTCTCATTATCGCGGGGATTATCGTTCTATCTGTGATTAAACCTTGGAAGAAGTAATCAGTTACTCAGAATACACATTACTTGTTGTTAATCCTTCAAATTTTCTTCTATGTATCTTTGTTTTTCTTGTGAAGTTGTATCTTCCTCTGTATCTTAATAATGTAATTAGTTGCCACTATTATTATATTGAATAATAAGTTTTGGAAAAGCATCAAATAAATCCATTAATAAGCAACTGGAAACTTTAGCATAACTTGGAAATCCAAATATAGATAAAGATACAAATGATAACACTACTAGGCAATTTGAGGGACAAAATAATGCCCAAAATGATTCAAATCCCTGAAGAATTATTTAAAAAGCTTAAAAAAACATCTTTATTGTACTTGAAGTTCACAACTTAAAAATTGGGATAGTTCCAAAGCTTCACACATCTTCATGCTCCAAAAGAAATCACTTTTTGTTGTTGTTTTTCTTACATTCTTGCCTTTGCAATCACCACACTTCCATCACCTAAGTTTGTTGTTCCAGTCCTTGTCCATTTTGCCTCAAATTGCTCCTCAGTTACACCTGCAATCACCATATTTCGAATACAATGTTACTAATAATTCGTGTTTGAAGTTTAAGTTTTATGCACTGACATGTAAAAATCATGTTTATACCTTTGCCCATAGCAGCAGTAGAGGTGATGCCTCCCTGGACAGTCCTTAGAACTCTATCATAGTAATTAGCACCAGACCATTTCTGATGAGCCAATGTGTCAACACCATGGCTCCTTTCCTCTCTTTGTATTTTCTCCACATAGGCCAACATTCCCCTCTTGGCGAAATCCTTGGCAAACGTGTCGACGATGAGTGCATCAGCATGGAAACCAGCTAAAGTAATGAACTGCCAGCAATAGCCTAATTTGGCTATTCTTGGAATGAAATCCATCATTTGGTTGTCATTCATTCCTGATGCATCCCAATTGAATGACGGAGACAGATTGTAAGCCAACATCAGCTCAGGCCTTAGAGACTTAACTCCCTCAGAAAATTTTGTGCATTCCACCATATCAGGACTTGATGTCTCCATCCAGACTAGATCACAGTATTCGGCGAAAGCCCATCCGCGAACAATTGCAGCCTCTACTGAACCCTGAAACCTGTAGAACCCTTCTCTGGTTCTTGGCAAGTCCCAGTCCCAAAAGAGATTAGGAAGGCCAAGTCTTTCAACAACCTCCCTAGCTTGTTCGTGCGAAAGACATTTCTCATAGCTCGAATGATTCATCCACTGGTTCAACCTCCTCTGCTTCTCGTGCTCCGCGAGGTTCATTTTCTTGATTGCATCAGTGACACATTGAGAAAATGTCTTGAGTTCAGCCATTCCAAGCCAGTTATCCTCAATGGCTTGAAGTTCCGGCCCTGTTTTGCCTGCAGCCATAGCTTCAGACAAAAGAGTAGCCAAACCCTTGCCCTTGAGATTCGGGTTGGAAACGCCCAAAATGAACTGGTGATCCCTTGTATCCACATTGGTTTGGATCAATGTGGCTGCAACCGCATCAGTACGAGCCACGAGGACCGTTTCAGTCCCCATGATATCAAACTGCAATCTTGCAGCCACAAGCCTGTTAATATGTTCACTTACAGCAACAAGCACTTTACCAGCCATATGACCACATTTCTTAGTAACAGAGGACTGATCCTCAATGTGGACACCAGCAGCACCGCGCTCCACGAAAAGCTTACACAGCTTAACAGTAGCAGTTGCACCACCAAATCCAGTGTCACCATCAGCAATGATAGGTTTCAAGTAATCAATAAAAGGGGTTCTTGCCCTCTCCTCTCTGCTCATGCTCATTCTTGCTTCTCTCTGCTTCCTATCATGATACTGCTGAGCAAAAAACAAATGTTCCACTTTGTTAGGAACAGTATCATAAGGGTAATCAGCAAGATCAGGCCCTGGTTCATTAGTACTTGTGTGAGTTGAAGAACACTGCCAACCAGAGACATAAATTGAATCCAAATGCTTAGCCATCATGGTGACTTGAACAGGGTCAAGTGCACCAAAAGTCCTTGATGCTGTCCCATTAGCTTGATGAGTCTTGAGTGTCCTCCACAGCTTCTGGGCTAACTCATTTGATGCATAACTTTGCCTCATAGTTCCTCTTAGTGCCACCACATCCCTAGCTGAATATGCCCTCTTGGTTAGCCTGAACCTCTCTGTGTTCCACCATGCTTGCACCTCTGCTGCCTCTGCTTCAAATCTCCTCTCTTCTTCCATAATCTGACACAGATCGAATTTCAAGAGTCAAACAAATATATTTGAAATGTATGTACTATAAGTCAGAATAACTAACAATTCAAACGTGACACATAAATCAGGACGAATCGAATACTAAGCAAGAAAGAAAATAAAAAATGTTTCAACTAAAAGATCATGTTGCTCCATTTAAATCCGTCTAAAGTATAAAAAAGTTGTAAAGATAGTGAGATAAGAGATGATCTTACCATTGAAGGAACTGAGAAAGATGCAGCCATGGCTAGAACTTTTAATTTTTTTTTTTCTTTTGTGTATATTTCTATACAATTGCAATGATGAATTGTTTATGCAAATGGTTGAGGCAAAGAGGCTCAATTTATAGTAGTAAAGTTGTTAAAACTAATACCAAATGCCAAGTAAAGGATAAGGAAAAAAAAAATTAAAAAATAATATTTCCACATCATTTTGCTAAATAATTTAGACCTTATCTACAGTATTTACTTATCTTGATTGATGAAGATAAAACTGAAGCAATTGCCCAAAAGGTGTTGATATCGAGGCAATGGAGGTTTCCAGCCATGA